GAGTCTAAAAACTTGGGTAGCTTGGAAAGGAGATTGGATAAGTTTGTGAGCAGACCTTCTACAGTGTTCTTATGTGGGATAGCGATGAAGAAGTTGAACCACTTGCCAAGAAACTTCTTCATCGCTATCCCACATAAGAACACTGTAGAAGGTCTGCTCACAAACTTATCCAATCTCCTTTCCAAGCTACCCAAGTTTTTAGACTCTATAGCCCCACTCGGTACATCATCAGATGCAGCATTCTTCACCTGACCTCAGCCGGACTATAAATACTCGCGTTCCTTCCACCCCAGGTAGTTCTGTTTGTGACTTGAAAAAGCCCACTGTGTGGGCGAAACGTAGTCAATAGAGGATCACATTATACTGCATTTGTGTTTATATTGCTCTCGTAAGCTACCTTTTTCTCTTTTATCACACCCTTTACTTCATCATTCCACCAATCACTCCTCTTTCCTCCTGCCCCCACCCTCCTATGACCACAAACTTCTGCCCCACATTCTAATACTGCATTTTTAAAACTATTCCAACCCTCTTCAACCCCCCCCCCCCACTACTCATCTTTGCACTAGCCCACCTTTCTGCCAATAGTCGCTTATATCTCGCCCGAACTTCCTCCTCCCTTAGTTTATACACTTTCACCTCCCTCTTACATGTTGTTGCCACCTTCCTCTTTTCCCATCTACCTCTTACTCTAACTGTAGCTACAACTAAATAATGATCCGATATATCAGTTGCCCCTCTATAAACATGTACATCCTGGAGCCTACCCATCAACCTTTTATCCACCAATACATAATCTAACAAACTACTTTCATTACGTGCTACATCATACCTTGTATATTTATTTATCCTCTTTTTCATAAAATATGTATTACTTATTACCAAATTTCTTTCTACACATAGCTCAATTAAAGGCTCCCCATTTACATTTACCCCTGGCACCCCAAATTTACTTACTACTCCCTCCATAACATTTTTACCCACATTAGCATTGAAATCCCCAACCACCATTACTCTCACATTTCATTCAAAACTCCCCACGCATTCACTCAACATTTCCCAGAATCTCTCTCTCTCCTCTACACTTCTCTCTTCTCCAGGTGCATACACACTTACTATAACTCACTTTTCACATCCAATCTTTATTTTACTCCACATAATCCTTGAATTTATACATTTATAGTCCCTCTTTTCCTGCCATAGCTTATCCTTCAACATTATGCTACTCCTTCTTTAGCTCTAACTCTATTTGAAACCCCTGACCTAATCCCATTTATTCCTCTCCATTGAAACTCTCCCACCCCCTTCAGCTTTGTTTCACTTAAAGCCAGGACATCCAGTTTCTTCTCATTCATAACATCCACAATCATCTCTATCATTTGCACAACATCCACGCACATTCAGACTTCCCACTTTGACAATTTTCTTCTTATTCTTTTTAGTAATCTTTACAGGAAAAGGGGTTACTAGCCCATTGTTCCCGGCATCTTAGTTGACTTTTACAACACTCATGGCTTACGGAGGAAAGATTCTTATTCCACTTCCCCATGGATATAAAAGGAAAAGTAATAAGACCAAGAACTATTAAGATAAAATCAAAGAAAACTCAGATGAGTGTGTATAAATAAACGTGTACATGTATGTGTAGTGTGACCTAAGTGTAAGTAGAAGTAGCAAGACGTTCCTGTAATCTTGCATATTTATGAGACAGACAAAAGACACCAGCAATCCTACCATCATGTAAAACAATTACAGGCTTTCGTTTTACACTCACTTGGCAGGACAGTAGTACCTCCCTGGGTGGTTGCTGTCTACAAACCTACTACCTATATATATATATATATATATATATATATATATATATATATATATATATATATATATATATATATATATATATATAAATATACACACATATACATATATACATATATACATATACACATACACATATACACATATACACATACATATATACATATACATATATACATATATACATATACACATATACATATACACATATACATATATACATATACATATACATATATACATATACATATACATATATACATTATATATTATATACATTATACATAATTATTCATAAGGAGTAAAATCGATGTATATTCGTAGTGTCGTCTCTTCAAAGTTTTTTCTTAAAGTAAGAATTCTGGAACGATTTTTTTTGTCTTTTGAAAAATTCGCTGGTGATATAAACTTAGTCGTTGTTGTTTAATTTTCACAGCGGCAGAATGTGCTGTGTTTTTTAAATGAGGTATCCCTAGTAGGCTTAATACAGAGGTATCCCTAGAAGGTTTAATATAGAGGTATCCCTAGTAGGTTTAATACAGAGGTATCCCTAGTAGGCTTAATACAGAGGCATCCCTAGTAGGCTTAATACAAAGGTATCCCTAGGCTTAATACAGAGGCATCCCTAGAAGGCTTAATACAGAGGTATCCCTAGTAGGTTTAATACAGATGTATAGTTAGTAGGCTTAATACAGAGGTATCCCTAGTAGGGTTTATACAGAGGTATCCCTAGTAGGTTTAAAAGAGAGGCGTCCTAGTAGGCTTAAAAAATAAAAGAAATGGGTTGAAAAATAAAGATTTTAAACGAAAATCCTAACACCTTCCTTAAGCCTACTAGGATTACCACAGTATTAAGACTACTAGGAATACCATTGTGTTAAGCCTACTAGGGATACCTTTGTGCTAACAGAGGTATCCCACACCTCTGGTAGAGGTATACTCATATGGGTAAAGTTGACAACTGCAGGTTGATTGTAGGTATGAAGAGGGAGGTTGAGGAGAGGAGTGTGTGATGTCTCTCCTGATACCTTCTACATTGCCTTTTCTCATTTACAAAATATCCGAATAATTTTCTTGGGTTTTATAGTTGCAATTTGAAATCAAGAACGTTTAATTAATTTTTCAGGAGAATGGAAAAAATTGCTCAACTTCTTGCAACTCGGGAGACTCTCAATCCAGGAGGATCTCAAACTCCAGATGAGGCGCTGATGAGGTCGCTTCTCCAGATCTTTGAAGACGAAACAAAAGTTAGTGTAACTTAGTGTTAACAAATCTCTGAGAATTGCGTAATCTTCCATGGAGACGCTCATTATGCACGGGATAACAATTTTACGAAACAAAGACAAACGTAGAATGGTTCGTTACGAAAGTATGGTGTTTTGTTCGTCAGGAAAGTGAACAAGTGCCTCCTGGCGCGGTGCTATATCAGGTAACTCATATCTTGTTATGCATCTTTAAAGCCGATCTACTATTATAAGGGATCATTAAGGCTTCATGTCACCAGTTCACCACCAGTCAACAATACTTTAATCTCTAAAATACAAGATAACATTTATGAAGGAACTCGGGGAAACCGGTTAACTGGACTCGAGTCCTGGAGGTGGGAACTACAGAACCTGCACTCTAAAGGATGGATGGAGATATGCAAAAATTTTTGAACTGCAATATCGGCACGCCTCTGACAAGACAGGGATGGAGTGATAATAAAAGTGTTTCCTTTTTCAGGTCACCCTGCTTCGGTGGGAAACGGCCGATGTCAAAATAAATACAAAATAAACTCTGTACATATACTGAAATATACACATCTATCTGTGTATTTATTTTTGCTCCTGTGATGATTTCAAGGTAAATATACGAAGGTGTAGCCTGTTACAACTGCTGCTTCTCCAATCTGGGCAGCCAATTTCACACGAATTTTCCCCAGTGCATTTCCCTACGAACGTATATTAGTATTTATTATCCTCGGTTAGATTAATTAGGCAAAATGAAGATATCCCAGCTGTTGCACATGTGTCTTATTCATCAACAAGTCGGCATTTTACACGATTTTCAACGTAAATTAGTGAGGTTAACATTTATTGGTCTATATCTCTGCATAACAACCATAGAGCCGGTGGAGGGTCAACTCGTACATAAACGAGTTTTCCCACATACGTTTTAAAATGGTGAGGATGGACTGTCGTAAAATGTAGCCGTCCTTCAACCACCAGCTTACGACTCTGTTTCCACTGAAATAAATCACTTTGGGTAATAAAAAATAATGGTACTGCCTCATACTGAGCGGAGTCACAACTCTCGCTTATATTCTTCGATTCCAAATCTTTCATTACTTGTTTCTGGTTTTGTATTATGTTCCGTTTCATTGCCTTCTGATACATCTTTCGTTCTTTTGTATTTCTATTTTTTTTCTAAGTTTTCTTGATTGATTTTCACATTTGCCATCTGAATTAAAGTCCGTGGTTCGATCCCTGGTACGAGTGGAAACACTGGGCGTGTTTCTTTAAGACACCTGCTGTCGACTAACAGTCGACTAACACCCACTGGGTGTTAGTCGACTGTTGTGGGTTGCATCCTGGTAGACAAAATTTAATTTAAGTTGCCCTAAATGCTCCGCATGCCCAGGGGCTTTCTATATAGTATGTCACTGATGTCAGCTATGGTCTGTGTAAGTTGTACCACGAACTTGTAGAAATAAAGATTAGTGTTAATAAGATCTGTCAGACACATTAAACATTGCCTGAATCACGTTCTTGATTAATTATCCAATTATTATATGAAGTATGAAACGCGAGATTAAGATAATGCTGCAGACAGTTATAATCGTGAGGGGATAAAGGATAGAGGGGAAAGGAGAAAGGGGAAAGGAGAGAGGGGAAAGGAGGGAGGAAAACGAGGTAAAAGAGGAGGAAGGTCCCAGCATGGATTACCAGTCCCTAGGCAGTTATACAAACAGGCTGGGTCAGCAGTTTAACCTAATTCATCCGGCAGGATGCACGCTACTGCAGCCCAGGTGACAGCCGAGTGAAAATTCCTATACGCAAACTTAATAAAAAAATATCACATTGTCGTGTTCATAACACATTAGCAATCTCACTATAATTGAAAATGGGTTCTGTTCGACAGGAACAGATACAGAAATAACCCACACATAGGAGAGTAAAGCTTACGACGACGTGTCGGTCCGACTTGGACCATGTACAAGTCACACTAACACACGACTGTGAAGGAGCCACCATATATAGGAGAGGAACAGGGATGGTATTGTGCCTTTCTCGTTCAGGAACAGATGTCGCTCGGGATATAGCCAACAGCCATCACTCTCGAATCTGTGTTATTAGACACCACAGTCTGTTAAAGACCCATAACTCATTATTTGTCCTTACTAATACAATAGCGACCATAAAAAAAACCATTAATCTCAGTCTTGTTTATTGATCTGAGTATCTTGCATGATACGATCAGTGTTTTGGTCGATAATTTTGTTCTCAGTTCCAATTACATTATACCTTAGCAGTTCCAATTACATTATACCTTAGCAGTTCCAATTACATTATACCTTAGCAGTTCCAATTACATTATACCTTAGCAGTTCCAATTACATTATACCTTAGCAGTTCCAATTACATTATACCTTAGCAGTTCCAATTACATTATACCTTAGCAGTTCCAATTACATTATACCTTAGCAGTTCCAATTACATTATACCTTAGCAGTTCCAATTACATTATACCTTAGCAGTTCCAATTACATTATACCTTAGCAGTTCCAATTACATTATACCTTAGCAGTTCCAATTACATTATACCTTAGCAGTTCCAATTACATTATACCTTAGCAGTTCCAATTACATTATACCTTAGCAGTTCCAATTACATTATACCTTAGCAGTTCCAATTACATTATACCTTAGCAGTTCCAATTACATTATACCTTAGCAGTTCCAATTACATTATACCTTAGCAGTTCCAATTACATTATACCTTACGGATTTTAGTTCAGTACTTAGACTATATGAAATAAAATAGATATAATTGACAAATAGCTCATATATTGGAGAGGAAACAACGCGATGTTTCAGTCCTTCTTGGATTATTCTCTGGTCATGAATAATTGTCAAAAAAAAAAAAACGAAGTGAAACGTTGCTTTAAGTTTACTCTCCAAAATGAAGTTGTGTGAGGTTTCTCTTCTTTACTGAAACCAAGTACACGCTTGTGAACAAAATTGGGATTTATTGAGCCATCACTTGATAAAGCTGAACAAAGAGCGAAACGTTGTCCCAATAAAAGCTTCTACAACTTTTCTTGGAATTCATTCTTGTCTACAGTAAAAAAAAAACTTCGTCTACGGTATAAAACTGACAAACTGAAACAGATCAAGACAACTGAAAAGAAATCAAGACGAATCATGACAAACCGAAACAAGCCACGATTAACCAGGATAAACTATTTCAAACCACGACTAACCAGGTTAAACTATTTCAAACCACGACTAGCCAGGATAAACTATGGCAAACTGAGCCAAATCACAGCAACACAGTCACGTAAGCAAGCAGATTTCCGAACAGAAACATTCTTTTCCCTCTTGCAGTATAAAAGATTTGTTGAAATATTTTGTGTTTAAGACTGGAGCGATGCTGTCTGAGGCTGTAATTTCACACACGCCTGCACAATCGTTCACATCTGCACGCACATAAACGCTTAGACTCGGCGAAGGAAATACCTTACGCTGTATTTTACCTCGCATGTTTTTCGCTGGAACAGGTAGGAAATTTTCTTATATACGTCTTTCATGAGCGTGCATTCTCTAACTTACCAACATTTTGATTGAAGACGAGGGCGAGGCCAAAATAAAATATAGAATCTCGGCATTTAAATAAGAAAATACTGGAAGGTACATAAAAGATCCCTTTTGTCAGCATCAAAAGCCCTTCCTAATGCGAAGAACATCAAGATCCCTTTCTTATTACGAAGAGCATCTCTCTAGCATCAAGATCCCTTTCTTAAAATGAAGAGCATCTTCCTAGCATCAAGATCCCTTCCTTAAAATGAAGAGCATCTTTCTAGCATCAAGATTCCTTTCTTAATAGGAAGAGCATCTCTCAAGCATCAAGATCCATTTCTTAAAACAAAGAGCATCTTCCTAGCATCAAGATTCTTTCTTAATACGAAGAGCATCTCTCTAGCATCAAGAGCCCTTTCTTAATGCGAAGAGCATCTTCCTAACGTCAAGATCCCTTTCTTCAACTGAAGAGCATCTTCCTAGCATCAAGATCCCTTTCTTAATAGGAAGAGCATCTCTCTAGCATCAAGGTCTATTTCTTAATACGAAGAGCATCTCTCTAGCATCAAGATCCATTTCTTAATACGAAAAGCATCTCTTTAGCATCAAGATCCCTTTCCCAGCATTAAGATGCTCCCTTGAAGAGCCAGTCTTCTGGTAATTTAAGCACAAGAAACTCATCACTTCATGTTAACTAATACCGTTAAGAACAATGAAAATCACAACACCGTGGCTGGAAAAAAACTAACAAATAATCCATACTTAGAGAGGTAACGGTGAACGACGTTTTGGTTCGTCGCTGAGACAATGGTCCAGGAGGGACCGAAACATCGCCTAATGAGAAAGTATTAAGATTAGCTCTCTTGCCTCCATGTCTGATGCCATCTCGATCGTTGTAACACAAAGTCAAGGAACTAAGTATCGACACTCCTATAAGACAAGGAACACAGACATCATACTTTTACTTTAGAGACATGAAACCTTTCTCTTATTTATTTCTGAAGATTATTTGGGTGCAGGTACACATAAGTGCGGTTAGCGGTTACACAAATTTAGTTGATTACAATTATATACAGTAACTCATATAAATTACCAAGGATAATCCAGAGAAGTCTAAGTGACTTTTTTCCATTGTGGACCCTGTAATATCTTATTGTTCAATGTTTACGATAAGATACAGCAGATATCAATCATGATTACAACCTTAATAGTAACAGTTAACTCAATTGTGTGTTTACCAGAGATACAACCCTCTTTGTATCCCACCTAAAAACTAAAATGCTATTAGTAGTCCACCAAGGGGCTACACTCGTCAGTGACAAAACTTTAGATACCTGAAAGTGTGGCTACAATGTGTATAATACACCAACAGTATGGCTACAAAGCCTTTCGTGTACCAACAGTGTGGCTACAATGTGTATAATACACCAACAGTATGGCTAGTGTGTCTTGTGTACCAACAGTGTGGCTACAATGTGTATAATACACCAACAGTATGGCTAGTGTGTCTTTTGTGTACCAACAGTGTGGTTACAATGTCTTTAGTAGATCGAAAGTACATCCACATCTTCAGTAGACCGTCAGTGAATCATAAGGGTTATTTAGCGACTCAACAGTGTGGCAAAAGCGTGCTTTCTCCTAGTTACAGGAATCTGGTATACGTATACCAACAGAATGTAAACAAGACATGAATGCAAAACTAACATTTTATAAGGATATCTTTCGCTCCCAGGAGCGAAACGTTTCCTAAAAAGACCGTGTAGTGCTACACAAGTGCTACATTTACATGCTTTCGATACTCATTTTCCAGGGGATGAGGTTAGACTTCTCTTCAGTATAAGACAGCATCCGAAACCGTCGGAGATGCTGTGGTGGAGTTTAAAAGCTGGGAATAAAAAATGATCGCATATGTTATACCTGGTGTTTTCTCAAACGAATTGTTTCACTATACGTTTTCGAGAACTAATTACGTATACTCTTACGTTGTCTGCAACTAACAACATTTCTCCTTAGCAATACACAGTTTCTCTTCACATTATCTTAGAGATTACGTTTCTCTCTACCTCACCTCAAACGTAGTCATTTCACTATTTTTATTCAAGATATTATTTATTATATAGTCAATATTTGCAATGTTGATAATTACACACACAAGAAATTTGTGAGTAGACGGAGTTGGTATTTAAATCAATTTATAAAATCAACTGAGCAAATAGTTAAGCAAGGAGTGGTAGAGGCTCGATCCTCCGTCCACTAAGAGGGAGTCAGAAAGGCTACTTAGTGGTGCAAGTGACAGTAAACCCATGGTCATGTACAAGAGTGGTGAGAGACAATAAAATGGTGTTGACAGTACTGGTGAGAGATGGTGCACTAGGTGTCCACACAGTAGTGGTGAGAGATGGCATACTAGGTAGTGTTCACACAGTAGTGGTGTGGGATGGTACGCTAGGTGGTGTTGACACAGTAGTGGTAAGAGATGGTACACTAGGTGTCTACACAGTAGTGGTGAGAGATGGTACACTAGGTGTCTACACAGTAGTGGTGAGAGATGGTACACTAGGTGTCTACACAGTAGTGGTGAGAGATGGTACACTAGGTGTCTACACAGTAGTGGTGAGAGATGGTACACTAGGTGTCTACACAGTAGTGGTGAGAGATGGTACACTAGGTGTCTACACAGTAGTGGTGAGAGATGGTACACTAGGTGTCTACACAGTAGTGGTGAGAGATGGTACACTAGGTGTCTACACAGTAGTGGTGAGAGATGGTACACTAGGTGTCTACACAGTAGTGGTGAGAGATGGTACACTAGGTGTCTACACAGTAGTGGTGAGAGATGGTACACTAGGTGTCTACACAGTAGTGGTGAGAGATGGTACACTAGGTGTCTAAACAGTAGTGGTGAGAGATGGTACACTAGGTGTCTACACAGTAGTGGTGAGAGATGGTACACTAGGTGTCTAACAGTAGTGGTGAGAGATGGTACACTAGGTGTCTAAACAGTAGTGGTGAGAGATGGTACACTAGGTGTCTAAACAGTAGTGGTGAGAGATGGTACACTAGGTGTCTAAACAGTAGTGGTGAGAGATGGTACACTAGGTGTCTACACAGTAGTGGATCTTTGAAGATGGGAGTAAATCCCTGACGACAAAAGGTGGTTTCTAAAGTAAACAAAGCAAGGAAAATTCCTCTTTAACTAGAGGAGCTCAGCCGCTAAAACAAGGAATGGCGGCGACGGAGACGACGGTGGCAGCGGCGGAGGCTGCTATTACTAATGCTGCTGCTTCTACAGTTGAGGATGCTGCTGATTTTGTTACTAGCGGAGATGATGCTGCTGGTTGCTGCTGCTGATGCTGTTCTTTGCTGTTCTCCGGCTTCCAGCCTGTGAACGTCACATCATTAAACATTTCTGGAGAATATTGCTCTGGCTATATCAATTACTATTAATATTAGGAATGTTATTCATGTTTTAATATCTGTATTCTGCTGTTCCTGCTTAGTTATGGCTATTTTCAACATCCTGTACTCTCCCAGAGTACTCCCACACCCATCCTGTACTCTCCCAGAGTACTCCCACACCCATCCTGTACTCTCCCAGAGTACTCCCACACCCATCCTGTACTCTCCCAGAGTACTCCCACACCCATCCTGTACTCTCCCAGAGTACTCCCACACCCATCCTGTACTCTCCCAGAGTACTCCCACACCCATCCTGTACTCTCCCAGAGTACTCCCACCCTGTACTCCCGAGTACTCAACCATCCTGTACTCTCCCAGAGCACTCCCACACCCATCCTGTACTCTCCCAGAGCACTCCCACACCCATCCTGTACTCTCCCAGAGCACTCCCACACCCATCCTGTACTCTCCCAGAGCACTCCCACACCCATCCTGTACTCTCCCAGAGCACTCCCACACCCATCCTGTACTCTCCCAGAGCACTCCCACACCCATCCTGTACTCTACTGTTAGTACTCTGAGCGGAAGAAACTGACGCTGAGTACGACCCAAGATCATATGAAGATTTCATACCTCTTTGAGCAGAGGGAGCGTGTTTATCTCGCTCTAAGAGGACGGAGGATCGAGTCTGCACTCCTCCATGCGCTTAAAAGTAGTAAGACAAGTGTATTTCGGTTGCTACGGGATTCGAGGAAGAGATCCCCGTATCCTCTAAGCCCAGCCTCTTCTACCTTAATTATCAAAGAAATCCCCGTATATCACAAGTCCAGCCCACTCTACCCCCAATGCACGGAGAAGGAATAGTAGAGAGTGCGGCATGAGGCTCTAATTCATCAAATTATGAGCGCTAGAGATGCAAAGCCAATCAAATCAGCTCAAAACTGATCACATGGACATTAAAGCTGTATTTCTTGGCTTAAATTGGCCCACTGGCACTTACACAGCAATAGAGTAATTCAGAACTTTCGCAAAGAAAGCTTAGCCAGCTTGAAACTTTAAAACCAATCAGAGGAAGCGTTTTCTGGGTGTCTCACAGTGTATCAGGAAAGTTTAAAACCGATCCGAAGCTGCTTTCTTGAGTTATCCGCGTCTGAAGTCTATCGCCGTAGATCGGTTGGTAGCGCGCTCAGTTAACTCGCTGAAGCCCATAGTTCGATCCCGGGTACGGGTGGAAACATTCGGGCGTGTTTCCTTAGGACACCTGCTGTCCCTGTTTAACTAGCAGTAAGTAGGTACCTGGGTGTTAGCTCACTGATGTGGGTCGCATCCTGGGGGACAAAATTAAGCTAAGTTGCCCGAAATGTTCTGCATAACCGGGACTTTCTATATAGTATATCACTGATGTCAGCTATGGTCTGTATAAGTTGTATCATGTACTTGTAGAAATAAAGATTATTATAATAATAATCATTATTACTATTATTAGCATTCTATAAACACAAAAACATTTAAATTTTCCCATTTTTTATTTAAACTGGCAGTTTTACAGCCCAAAATTAATCCAAACCAGTCTCTAAATTACATACAGTAAAATTTAAGGTTTGAAGCCTATCAGAAGAGTAGTTCATGGAAACCAATTTTAGTAAAATTAAAAAATTCATATTTACACAACCGAAAAAAACTGCGAAATTTCCTCCGAGAGGAAAAAAAAACCTCATGAACACGAAGTTTGTAGCCGAGCAGCGGAGGCATTCTCAAGGTATCTCACAGAAACCAAAAGCGGAACTGGTCTATATAATAGTGACCAGAGGATACCAGCACATACCAATAGTTCCATTTTATTGTGGCAACGTTTCACTCTCCTGGAGAGCGAAACGTTGCCACAATAAAATGTCACATTAGTCGCATTATGTCGATAATTCTATCATTATTACTGGTTATCCCTCACCAACGTTGAAAACACGAAACTGAGCTGTAGTCCCAAATCTGCCACGGAAATCACTCCCTACATAAAAAAAAATCGATCAGGCTGCAGAACATCAACCCCAATGACAATACAGTAAGTGTCAGGGTCCCCAAGAGCGTTCAACTGCCTCCCAGCATACATAAGGGGGATTACCAATAGACCTCTGGCTGTCTTCAAGGAGCTCGACAGGTATCTAAAGTCAGTACCTGACCAGCCGAGCTGAGGTCCGAACGTCTATTTGCATGCGGCCAGCAGTAACAGCCTGGTTGATCAGGCCCTGATGAACAGCGAGGCCTAGTCATAGACAGGGCTGCGGGGGCGTTGATCCGCGAAACACCCCCAGGTAAACTTCAGGCAGACTCGTGGTAGACTCCAGGATCGGTCAAGCATTTAGGTTTTGGTCAACTTAATTTAGAGTTCAGTAGGATCTGTTGCTCGATAAACCTACCTCGAGCAGATTGTATTTATAGTTAGGGAAACATCTTAATGAGCCTCATACGGTGATAGACCTAAGACC